AAAAAAAAAAAAAAAAAAAAATGGAAATCAACAAGGAACAATTTCAAAGACTTACTCAATACGTCAAAAGATACGTTAACCAAGTAACCATCAAAGCCAGAACCGTTGGAATAGACAAGGATGAACTCCAAGAAGTAAGATTACTCTGGAAGTTCTACGAAGAAATAAGAGAAAAAAAACTGCATTGGATAAAAAAAAATAATAATAATAAACCACAAACCTGTAACAAGAGCCGTATAAAGGAAAAAGCTCCCGGAAGACCTGTCACACACCACCCCAAAACCGATCGAAAGACTGGACGACCTGGAAGATCGAGTGCACAACGAAAAAAATTCAGTGATAATCAACTAAGAAGAAACATAACTACCACAAATGAAAAGGATGTATACCAAATATCCACTACTTATCAAAAATCAGCAGAGATGGAACAAGCTGGTGCAACGAACAACCTTGGATATGGTTATCAACATGGAATCGGAGCTGAAAAAGACGAATACAAAGCATTCACTAGTTACCAAAAATCTGCCAGTATAGAACTTGCTGAAGTAGGGCCGTGTTATGCAGATGGAGTTGAGGTCGAGAAGAGGAATGCTGATGGGACGTATACCCCTGGACATTGCTACGAAAAGGGAAACATAGCTGAAAAGGATGATCATAAAGCGTACTCCCATTATCAGAAATTTCTCGAGATGGGAAATGTTAACGAAACATGTGAAAAATTTGAATTTGGTGATGAAAACAATGAAGACGATACTGACGATGGAAATGACAAAGACGATGATGCTGACGATGAAAATGACGAAGATAATGGTGCTGACGATAAAGATGACAAAGATAATGATGCTGAAAATGATCAAAACAAAATCGGATTTGAAATAGACGAATATACAGCACCTATTCACTATCAAAGCTTTGCTGAGCTAAGAAATCTAAAAGGAACGTTTCAAGTTGGTTATTGTTATAAGGATGGAATTGGTGTTGAAATGGATGAACATAACCTATTTATTTATTACCAAGAATCCGTTGACTTGAATCATGCTTGTAACTATTGGATGGAGAGAGTAGACGAATTTAAAAGGATAATTGGCGAAAATAACGAAAAAAGGAATCCAAAAGCTGCAGAGACGGGTCATATTGGTGGAAAAGAAAACGATTACTGTTACGAGAATGAAAAGGAAGAGGAAGATGAATACAAGACCCACCCCAACAGTTCCAGAAGCCTCGAATCTGCTGATAAATGTGAGGATAAAGCCGACGAAAACAATAAAGATGCTGGCTCGAGAGATCTGATCGACAGATATTTGGAGTTCCTTGAAAGTTTCACTCCCGAATCACGAAAAAGTCTTGGCTCTGAAGGAAGAAATGATGAATACAAGGCAGTCACGCATTATCAAAAATCTGCTGGTATGAATCATAATCTTGATCACTGTTACCAGAATAGGATCGAAGTTGAAAACGATAAACAAAAGACATTTACCTATTATCAAAAAGCTGTTGATTCGGGTAATGCGGATGGATTATATAATGCTGGACACTGTCATCAAAATGGAATCGAAGTTGAAAAGGATAAGTATAAGGAGTTCACCCAATATCAAAAATCAGCAGAAAA